TCAATCAGTCAGTGTCCATTGTCTCACCAATGAGTTGTCCGTTGGCTACAGCCACCCACGGAGGCGCCCTTGACCCAGAAGTCTGTTGATGGAGCTGAAGCGGCCCGCTCAAAGCTCTGCAAAAAAGGGCGGCCAGTTCGTCAATGTCAAATAAGGCGGCCGTAAAAGCACCCAAGGTGAAGCCGGCCAAGAAGCAAACTCAGCCAGTCATGCCCAAGAAAAGCCGACGAAGCTCATCAAAAAAAGCAATGCCTGCCGCCACTGTCAGCAAGCCCGACATGGAGGACAATGCGGAGACCCCCACAATCATGAAGAAGCCCGCGGCCACCTCCGTCAAGAAGCCAGCGATGGGAGATCCTGCCACGACTGGCGCAGGTCTTGCCAGAAGCTTGCACGGAAAATCTGGCCGAGCAAGGCAGTCTAAAGGATGTTGGTTGACACTGCCACTGATGACTGACAATGAACTGCTGAAATGACGGCTGACATTCTCATTAAATCATGCAGCCTGGTGGGGCATTTCGCTTGCGCGACTGCCGCGGAAAAAACAAACTATTCTTTTGCCCTGGCCTTTGTCGGTTCCTTTGCCGGCATGCCCTTGAAGCAGTTGAGAAGATCATCCGGGTCGGGTCAGACTGCACTGGCCTAGGACTGATGCCATTTCTTGCGCCAGGCCAGAGCTTCTGGTAATTGCAATGGCCTTGGCCTTGATTTGAAACCAAGAGTTGTGTTAACTCAGTTCTGCACAGCTGAAGTTGGTGTCGAACAGCTTCTGCTCAAACGTCAGCCGTCATTGTCGCCAAGTTCTGAAACACAGCCGTCATGGTCCCAGACACTGTTCAGGCAGGCTACGAAGGCGCCGGCCGTGGATCTGTACACGGCCGGCTTCCCGTGTCACCGAGGCTGCGCCTTCAGACGCAGACTCCCAGCCATCGGTTTGCAAGTCTTGGAGGGTCAGCTTCCTTAACTCGGCTTAGCGACGAGCGAGCGTGAGTGTGAGTGGCGCAACTGTGAGTGCGAGTGTGACAGAGTGGGATTGAGAGAGAGAGAAACAGAGAGAGAGAGAGGGTGTGAGTGAGAGTGAGAGAAGTGAAGAGTGAAAGAGTGTGAGCGCGAGTGTGCCTGCAAGTGAGTGAGCGTCAGTCAATCAGTTGTCAATTTCGGTTGCCAGTTGTCATTCAGTCGGCGGGTCGGTCAGCTAAGTTCAGGATAGACAGTGTTGACACGGTGCATGTGTGTAAAGATGAAGTGCGCTTGGATTGGCTGACTATTCCGTTTTTAAACTGATTATCTCATCCTTGTCGTTGTCTAAGTCTGAATCTGCGTCATCGTCGTCGACCATATTTCTGACTGCGGCGATGCTCGCGCCTGCCAGGACTCGGCCAAGGCATCGGCGCCACAGCAAGAGCGCACCGCACCTGCGCGAACCCGCATTTCGTGCGAGCGTCGAAGACACCTTTTCACACACAGGGCCAGAGCCTTGAGCGCAAACCCTCGATGTAACCTAGCCATGACTCTACCATAAGAACCCCTTAGTGGAAACAATAGTTAGGGGGAAAAAGGAATAGCATGAACTCGATCAGAAAGTTGTAAAATAGAAAAGAAAAAGGAATGTGAGTATGATTTAGGGAATAGAAATCTACATGAATATGTGATAAAATAGATACCGCCACCCGCAATTCTCTTTAGCTGCGTCATGTCTGTTCCGCATCCTTTTTACGTGTTGGAATTACTTTCGGACGTGTAACGTAGGGTTTGGAAAAGAACGGGAAGATTTTCTATGGAGTACCGTTGTATTATTCATGCTTGTACATGCCTTTGTCACTTCCTTTTAATACAACCTTCCTACCTACTCAAATATCATCGTGAAGATGATACCTTTCCTTTGCCTCCATCACTTGGCCTAACCTGGTATGCCATAAAATCTCTAAGATACAAATGAAGGTTTAAAGGGAAGGACAAAAGCATATGTCATTCTATCCCAACAGCCCCAGCCATGACTGACAGGGTGACCATTAGCTTCTTCCAAATCTTTCTCTCTTACGGTTTCCTCCGTCTCTTTCTCCATCAGATATGAAAGTATATGAAAACCATCCGTAAGAAGCATGTCATAGCAGATCCCCTCCCTTACCTACCTTATGTTCCCTCGCTTTCCGTCTTAACGATTGAGTTGGTTGTAGGAAGAAACTGTAAGGGAAGAGAGGGAGAGATAAGGACACCAGTATGAATTCGAGATCCTAGAGAAAACCAAATGCATGAAAATATATAAGGACAAAATCCAAATGAACAGGTGGCATGCTTTCCTGCCCCTGCCTTCCCCAACTTCAATCGAGTCAAAATGAATACAAACTTGATTAAAAAAGAACAGAACCATTGAGTGTGTCCTGCTGCAGCAGAACAACCGCCTGCTGCCATTGTCAATCTTTCAGGCATGACAAACAGTGTGTTGCGCTGACAACGAACTGGCATCGCGACATGCGCTCGGTTCTTTGACGCCACGCAGACTCCAGAAGGAGCTTAGCTTTCGCAGGCAAGCTGTGACACAAATAAAGTTCTGTGACGCGCGCGCCACACGCAAAGACCAATGGCTTGGTGCTGGTTTGTCACCACTGCAGCATGGGCCACCCGTGAAACCGAATTGACTATGAAAGATGCTTCATCGACTTTGTCAACGGACGCGTTTGTACTTGCAGCGCAATACTCCGATTCTGAGCTGGGCGACCAGTCATTGGACAAAGATTCGGAACTGCTGTTCCCTTCATTCTCTGCAAACTTCCGCTGACAAGCTGGTTTCCGAACCTGAACAGGCTCATGTGTACTGACTTCTGGTGGCTCCACCAGGGCTTGCAGCTGCTTCCCCAAATTCTTCAACACTGCTTCGGTGGCCCCCGAAACTGCCGGCAATGAAAAAGACAGCTCTGCCTTGGGAGAGACTGCACCACGCAATTGTGGCATGACCGGGCGCCAGCCTTTACGCGCAAGTCGCGCGACACGCGCTTGCAAGAGCAATGCGTCATGGACGATGGACGAGCCTGTTGTGGCACTGCGATGATGCCTTGGTTGTTTGCGCCAACTGTCTGGCACCTGCAGCTGCCTAGCCCAACTCAGCAGTGTGCTTTTCATACTGTGTACACCCAAGGACTGGCAGCGTTCCATTGTTTCTGCCTGTGGGGTTTGACACGCATCAGAATGTTCCTGCAATAAAAACCGCAGCAAACGGAAACACTGCGTTCTCTCAGCTGGTGCGTCCAAACAGTATACCCTTTCTGCGCGAAAACTTCGAAAACCACACACTGCTGAAACCGGGAAAATAAAATCTGGCACAAATGGCTTTGTCACGGCACTTGTTCTCTTCAAGGCTTGACGAAGCAATTGCATCCAGATCTGCCCCCAGCAGTGCGCCAAGCCATCTCGATGCAAGCCCTGGCCATGAGACGGAGTCTTGGTCTTGTAACAAACTGATCGCACTACCCCGAAACAAAACTGTGTCTCATTCAGCAGCACTCTCCCGCGACTTGTAGACTTGCCCATATGGCAAGGAGCAAGGACAAAATAACCAATCAATCTGCTGCTGGTCGGTCTGCTTGCGTGACACCTTGCCCCAACCATGAAACGAAAGACACGGGCAAGGGGCAAGGTTCTTTTCTCATGCTGCTTGTAAATGGGACAGTCTAGCTGCGTACCAACGGCTCATACAAGGCATCATGGAGCTGCTTGCGAAGACATCCATCTGAGCGCTTTGACAATCGCCAAGGAAGATTTGATCCTTTTGATAATGCGAGCCCGGAGAGAACCTGCCGAAAATCCAAAGTCAGGCGTGGTTGGATCAAGTCCATGGATACTGCAGAATTGGCTCCACTTATTCCAAACTTGAAGGTAGCTTGAAACCGTCAGGCGAAATGGCCTGCTTCAAGCGCTCATTTGCAAAGCTGCTAGTTGCACAGACGCAACCAGATTGGAACCGGCGAAAGTTCGTGCAAGGTCAACAGCCACTTGTTCACAGCTTGCTGCTTGAGGTTCTCATCAATGCCTTTGCTGCTTGAAAATTCGTGTGGCTGCCTCGCGGGCACTGCTTTGATGCCTGAAACGCTTGTTCGCCCCAGCATTTCCATTTGCAACGGCGATGCCAGCGTTGTATGGACATGAGAAAACTGAGGTACACTCTGCCCTGCAAAATCCACAGCTTGACGTTCACCACGCAAAAACAGTCTGGGCCTGTTGGACCTGTTGGCCACCTGGGATGAATCCCAGCACAGATTGGTATCAACCTGCAAGCTGACAGGGGGTCGTACTAAAGGAGTTAAACCCAGGTGCGGCGAATGCAAATGTACCCAGCTCTTTGTGTCAGGTGCCAGTTGGGGCTGAAAGCGCTGAACATGTTCAGGTGCCAGTCGGTGGTTGGAAACACCCCCCTCATAGACAGACATGCGTGGAAAGGCCACTGAGTCTGAGCGATCATCATTCTGTTCCGTATGTTCCCCATTGTCAAAAGCAAAGGGACGAGCGCGTCACCGCAGGGGCAGCCGGGCTCGAACCCAGCTCCGGAATGCACACAAAATCTCAAACCTTCCGGTTCCCCCTCCCCATGCAGTAGTGAACACAAAACCCGCTTACTGTCACCAACCGCCTAAGACTAACCACAGATTGCTCGATGAAAGCCATCTGCAAGCGAGAAGAAACCAGTTGATGTCAAAAAGGGGCGCAACCACCAATGCATCGGAGAGGGCAAAAGCATCGGCAATCGATGAACATCCGGCAAGTTGTTTATGCTTTGCTAGACAACAAACAAACAAGCTTGTGCGCAAAACGATCCAAGGCAAACACATGCAAGGTCAGAAAAGCCTGGCCTGTTCATCTGAGTCACCAATGGCCCAGAAGGCCGGACACATGCCTGGAATTGTTTGTCTAAGGAATTCACCCCATGTTTGGCGGGTCCTGAATCAAACAAAGGATTTGGAGAACTTGAACCTGGGCATCTAAAGCCACGCGCCCAGGGCCCCGTCGCTGGCTTGGCAGGCCTCGGAAACATCGGCGAAAAAGGGAGGGGTCGCCGCTGTTCTGCCTACCCCAATTTGAGGTTGCACAACTGGCACACACAACTGGCAGGTAGCCCTTCAACATGGTTCTTGCAGTTGAAAAAGGGCGCCTCCTTTGGCTACCGAAACGCAGGTGAATCAACCCACAAGGTGTTGCAGTAAACTGCAACTTCTACGTCCATGTCTTCATCCAGCACAGCCTGGACAAGTTGTTTTTGCTTTTGGCGTGGCGCTGGGTTGGATATGGCTGAGGTCTATACCAGTGCGCAGAAGCAGGGCCAACAGTCTACACCCTGACTCCTCGTTCGAAGTTGCGTAAGCAAGGTTCCACTTGATCACCCGCCGCTTGCTCTGCAATTGGGAGTCAATGAGGAGGCCATGGGGCATTGCCCATCCCCTCGCGGCTTCCTGCAGGGAAACGGACCAACTCGTCGGCGCAGCAAGCTACACTGTGGAACCCGATGACTTTTCGTTAACTACGGCTAACTCTGAAAAAAAAGGTAAGCGAGTCTTAAAGCTACTTCATCCAGGTGGTTGCTTTCCTGCTGTTGTCCCTTGAAAACCTGGCACAAACCCGCGCGCCTTGGGAAGCAAAATCTGGCTATGTTCCCGGCGAGGCTGCCCTGTAGCCTGTCGGCGGGATGTCCTCCTCCAACTGCAGAGGCCGGTTCCTGAGACTTCAGAAGCAGCAAAGCCGGACAACTTGGGGGAGTAAGCTGGGGCTGTAGCTCTGGCAGCGCTAGCAGTTCTAGTTGTAGCGTTTGTAGTAGTAGCACTGGCTTGCCATTGTCATTGGTAGCAAGTAGATGGCGACCAGCTAGAAGGCGCCGGTGCTCGTTATACAAAGTGAGTGGTAGTCGGCGACCAGTAGTAGTTGCAATGATGGTAATACTAGCGGCAATCGTCCACGCAGCAGTAGCGCCACGCTCCCATGGACCAAAGAAACTACCTCAACCTTGCATCTTTCAATACCAGGCGCCGTTCCAAAACCAGCTGCTTCTAAATCAAAACAGCCCCCCCGCCACCAAGCCCCCTGGAAAAGACTCTATTCTGAGCTACCCTCGTCTGAGATTTCCAATGTCTTTAGGACTGGTCGCCTCCTGCGCCTTTCGGGTGATTCAACCTGAAAAATATGCAAAAGATGTTTTTCGTTAAGTTGGGGGGTGGAATTTGGAAGATTTTGGCTTCTAGAGCTAACTTCGGGTCATTCAACTTGAGAAATGTGCAAAAGTGTTTTTTTCTGCTAGCTTTGGGGTGGCTCAGCTTGAAAATTGCGCAAAAGTGTTTTTTCTTTCAGTTGGGGCGTGGAATTTGGAAGATTTTGGCGCCTTCAAGGCGAATGGTAGACAGATCCGCAGCGAGCACTATGCGAGAGATCAGTGCAAGGAATTCTGCGCCTGACCTACTTGGAAGCGCTGTTTTGCTTTTGCGCTAGAACGACATAGCGGACCGTGTGCTTTAGAACAACACCATTGCACTTGTCAGTTGTCAGTGAACCAAAATACATAATTGTGTTTTTCATTCGAAGAAGCTTGTTTACAAAAGCGCAAAGCTATAGAAGAATTCATCATGCTCCAGAAGAAACTTGTTTACAACACGCAAGGCTATAGAAGAACTCATCATGCGATCCCAACCTCTTGTCCCTTTTGGGCAGCAATGACAACGACGGCGAGCCATTTTTTCCGTGTCTTTTGGGCTGAGTCTGCGCTGTTGCAGCTGCGGGGCAAAAAGTGCGGGGCAGCCCGCTGCTGCTGCTGGTCAGGACAGCTTACTTATTACTTCTTCGCGCTCTTTTTTCTCAGGCTCTGGGAGGGCTTCGTCCTTCTTGCCCGCAGCCTTGGCCTTGGCGGTGTTTTTGGCCTTGGCCTTAGGGGCTTGACTGGCCTGTGCCTTGGTCTTGGGTGGGTCTGCGGGGCTGCCGCCGCCCACTGCTCCATTGCATGGCTCCTTGTCCTTGTCCTCAGTGGCAGGGACCTCGGGGAGCTTCTTGTCCACAGCGGACGCCTCCGCTTCTGCAAGGGCGCCAGTGCCAGTATCCACAGCTTTGTCGCATTCCATGGCTGTGTTGGGCGGCTGGGGCCCTTGGCTCTCAGCTGCGCGTCGGGAGCGTCGACGGCTTTTGGCTGCTGCGGGGTTTCCGCTCAGTCTCCGCTTGGGCTGGGACTGGGATGGCTGGGACAGCCTCCTTCAGTGGCGGGCTTTCCGCTGGAGCTATGGGAGCTATTTCTGCGGCTTGCGCTGCGTTGGCGTTGGCCTCGGCCCCGGCTGGCTTTGTGACGGCCTCCTCCTCCGCCGCGGCTGCGGCCCGGGCCGCCTGCCTTTCCTCTTCTTCGGCCATGGACAGCTCAATTGCTTGAGCTAGCTCCTTCTCCTCTTCCTCCTTCTTTTGCACGGCACAAGTGGCTGCGGCTGGCTGGCTGGGCCGCCGCCGCCTTGGGCCTGGGCCGCTGCCTGGGCTTGGGCCAGTGTGCCCACCAGAGGCGGCCTGGGCGGCTGGGCCTCTGGCTCGGGGTCCGGCTTTGCTGCTTTTGCCTTCAGTTTTTGCTCCTGCAGGGCCACCGCTGCCTCAATCAGACTCACAGCGCTGCTCAAGCAGTCTGCTCCTGAGGCGCCAGGAAGCTCCAGAAACCGATTCTTGCACGCTGTGAAGACTGGCAGGAGACTTGGGCTGAGCAGCCCAAGGCGCAGCCCCAAGACATCTTGGCTGTGGGCTCGGTGGCTCACCAAACTGCATGGGGGCAAGTAGAGCATGTCGCCAGGCCCCACTGTCCCCAGGCGGAGCTGCCCGCTGCTTGCGGCGTCTTGCAACAGCTTGTCGCTGGGGGCGGCCAACAGCCGCTGCTCCGCTTCCAGATGCCCAGCGAGCTTCCACACCGCTACCATCATAGTGCCCTTCACGGCATCAGGTTCAGCTCGCATCGCCCGATGATTATGCTGCTGCCAGCTATCCCGAAAGAAGTGACTCGCAGCACTGGGTCAAGGACAGCAAGGTCCGCTTCCGCGGGGCTACCCGCTACTGCGGCCGCAATGCCGCGGACACCCAGCCAGGCTGCTGGCTGGTGCGCCGGCAGCTGGGCCAGCCGCTCCAGCGCTGCGTTTGCCAGCTCTGCTGACAAGCTGCAGTGCGCGCGGCCCTCAGTCACGCGCAAGGCGCTGGTGGCAAAGACGCCCCCGAACTCTGTCACGCGGTCATACACCGCCTGCGGCGCGGTCACCGCTGGGAGGATGTGCGGGTTGGCGGGGAGTTGCTACGATTGGTCCGCCATGGGGGGTCGCAAGAGCTGGCTGGGCGATTCCACGTTGCCGTTTGCGCAGTGGTTGGCTGAGCGGGTGGCCCCGCAGTCAGTCGCGGAAGACATTGTGCTGGCGGAGTGCACAAGCCAGTTTGATGTGGATACACTTGCGGAGCTGACGCAAGGTACCTTCACAGTGACTCCGCTTACTGTGAGCCCCGCTTGCTTTGGAGAGCCTGTGGAGATGAAGCGGCTGTACATGGTGCTGCTAAGGGCAGGCCGGCTGCAGTGGCACCCCAGCCTTTGTGGCCGTGGCCAAAGCAGCAGAAGCGGCGGAAGCGCTTGCATCCAGGCCGCCTTTGACGCCACGTTTGGGAAGCAAGCGGTCATGGCCCCCGCCCAAAAGTTTTGCGCGCCGCCAGAAGAAGTCAAGGACTACGTTCGCAAGCTGGCCTTGGCTCACCACCTGCCAGCAACCACACGGAGCGGCCGACATTGGAGCTGCTTGCAGGCTCTTACTGCTGGTGCCCGGGCTGCCGTTCAGGAGCACACTGCCGCCCTGAAGGAGCGAGCGGGTGACTCCGCAGATCTGGGCATGTGGGTCAGCAACATCGCGCAAAAAGCTGAGTACATGGGGCCGTGCCATGGCCGAGTTCCAGCCATCTTGAGGCAAAGCCAGCTGTGGGTGTTTGGAAAAAAGCGGGTGGCCCTGCCTCTTGAGCATTGGGAATGCCAAGGATGGAGCTTGTGGGCCGACTCACCGTACAAGTGTGAGTTCGCCTCGAACTTGCGCAGCTTGTCAGACTCCAAGCTCAAGGCAATGGCTGGGAATGGTATGCACGTCAGAGCCATCGGAACAGTGGTCGCCTTCGCGTTGGCTTGCACGCAGCGGGTTGCCCCGCCAAGCAGCGGCAGCGGCAACCGCCAGCAGCAGCTGCTGACAGACTCCAGTGACTCCAGCCGCCAAGCGCAGGCGGAACTGCACCCCAAGCGGCAGAGGCGTGCCTGAGTTGCCAAGGCTGCCAAAGGCCAGTAGTCAGAGCGGATAGCCCCGCCCCAGCCCCAGACATTCGGACGCACTTCTTGGCTTGAGAGTTGCAGAAAAAAAGCGTGCTGTTCAAGAGTTCAAGGTTCAAGGGACGACTGAGTTGAGTGTCTCTTTGGTCCGCTTTTTGGGGCATGCTTGGTTGCCAGCTCACTTTTGATCCATAGCATTGGCTGGGTCAGCTCATTCATATGCAAACTCGGCCACCCTTGCAGATTTCATGTTCAGAGCGTAAGTTTCCCCGGTCCCCGACGCCCTCTGCCATAGCGAGCCCCTTGCGCTGGAGCGCTTGAGTATGACCAGCCAGAGCTTGAGCCTGGGCCGCGAAAATTCAGCGCTGCAAAGCTGCAGTGCCCAAAGCTTCGGAGACGCGGATACCGCAATGAGCATTTACGGCTTCGCGCTTGCGGGCTTCATCCTGCTTGCTTGCCTCATGTGCGTCTTCGCCTTTCTTGCTTGCTGCTTCACTCATCTGTCTGTGCAGCGTGCAGAGAAGCGCATTATGGACACGTTGCACAATATCACAACTTGCCGAGAAGTTGACTTTTACAATGCTGTTGACGACTTAAAGCGGTCTCATGACTTCCTTGCTCAGGAAGTTCTGGAACTTAGAGACATGGAGCTGGCCCTTGACACTTTGCGGCAACAACTTGCCCAGCTTAGTGAGGCCAGCTCCAATCCCAAGTCAGCGGGCACTACCGCTTCGCCGCCGCTGTGCCGAGATGGCCCAGATCATGATCTGGATGATGATGCACGAGCTATTCAAGCTTGGGCAAAGAGCTTGAAGCCTCCACCTTTTCCTTGAAGGTTCACTGTTTCACTGCCTCATTTGGCTGTGCAGAGTCTCACACTGAGACTGAGTGGTAGGCTCAACAAACAGACGGGAGCGTTTCAGGAAAACTGAACTCTTCTTCTTGCTTCTTACTTCTTACTTCTTGCAGCATGCGTATGAGTGTGAGTGCGAGTATGACTGCCACAATTCATGACATTCAGGCCTCAGGCCAAGGCTTAGGCGTCGCCAGGTTTGTCCATCCAACATTAGATCAGCAATCCACGCCACACGGTCACCACACCATGCTGACGCCCTGCCCCCTTCTCTTTGCAAACACTGATCCCCCAGCAGCGCTCCCGCAGCTCATCATAGCTTCCAGTAACTGCAGTAATTTTCAGTCACTGACCAGCGCCAGCCAGCAGCCAAACAAGCCCAAGTCGCTGTCTCTAGCGTCTGGCAATAGTTTTCCTTGCCCTGCTCTCATTCTATTCAACTCCATCACTTTGCGCTGCGCTGCGCCGCTGTGTTCTTCCAGGCCACCGCACATGCCTGCGCATCTGGCCCAGACATAGCTGCCATCCTGCTCCTAGACCTGCCCGCCCCCTGACCGTGGCCCCCTCC